TCACCTCACTTTGAAAGTATCAACAAATACGTGAAGACTGAGGTGTATTCCATAACTTTTTCAGAAGGGGTTGTGTCAGAAAAAGGAAACAATATGCTTAAAAACAGGTAATGGGAACCTGCTCGAGCTGTTTTCATTTTGTTTATTTTCATTTCATGCACACCACTGGTAATTTCCCTGGAAACCTTTGTCATTACACACTGGATGCATTTCATGGCAAAGGCCATAAAGGACAAAGATCACATGCCATACCTGCTAGTCATGATTCCATCAAGAAATGCACTGTAAGTAATATATGACATAGCACGCCCAATGTGTCATTACAAAGGTGACTCCTCATTTACTGTTACGGTGAAATCCCCTTTGATAGAAACCCAGCTTGACTAATATGATTAAACAGTGATCATGAATCTACCCATGATCTAACCAAAACCATGAGCAGCAACCATGTGTGAACTTGTGATTGTAAAACACACTTTTTTTTTTCACATTGTGAAGGCACGAGGTGGGCGTATTTGGCGTAAATTCTGGGTGGTGAACTGCTGTGTCACAGCACCCGACACCAGAGATGGACGATGTTTATGTTTCCAGCGATTCCTGTAATATGGCGTGATGGCTTCCCTCTTGAGGTTGTCATGAATGACATGCACACATATGGGAAGCTCAAGCTATTTCTAGACTGGTGAGCTATATGATACCATAGAGTCAAAGATGACAGAAATCAGATGTTTTGCACTCTGGAAACTTGTTATTAAGTCATTCTGTTCAATTTGCTCAGTTTTTTTCCGCCGAGAGAGATTTTAACATTTGAGTACTATATGATTTTATGCTAATTATGAAGCCAAAGATGGTAAAACAGCCTGAAAACAGTTGAAAACATCCAACCTGGCAAGTCACAGGGTTCCAAATAAAGGTGAGCAATCTACCTCAGATAAAGTCAGGTTCACGCGTGTTTAATGATCTTCGAAAATCAAATAAATTCAAATCAAACAATATTTGTACAGCATTGTCCATCCAGATCCAGTCCAATGTGAATAATGCGATAAGAGATAAAGTCACCCTATAGCCCCCTTCCCCAAAAACATGAATTTCTGACTCTACGCGTTGTCTCTTTAACTGAAGCATCATCCTAAAATAAAACTGGAAATAAAAAATGTGTACATGAACACAACATGAAAATGTGAATTGCAAAAAGCACGTGTTTTCACGCGGAGGGACTGGAATCATATTTGGTGGTTTGCCACTGGAGGTTGTGTTTTTAACAACTGTAGATGAGCCAAGGGCATCTGATTAAATTCTGAACAAAACATGTGACACGCGCTCACATAAAACTGTCAATATGCCAAACGGCAAGGCCATGACCAGGGGATCAGACACTTCATCGTCTCACGACTTCAGTTCACGCTGCCAAATTGCATTTGCTTGGCGTTGAATTTTTTTCAAAAAAAGTTGCTGGATTGTGACACCCTTAGACGTGATCTTCTATTATTTCTGATTTCCATTTCTCCATGGTTAGTGAGCAACAAAATACAGGATTGAAAATGCATGGCCGGCCAAAAAATAGCTGAAACACAAAGTTACTGAAAAGAAATGAACTCTAAGTTTGTTGGCATGACGTTTAGTGAGGCTAAAAGCAAGCTGGCCAGATGCTAAACATTGTGAAAAATAAATAAAAAGAGAGAAAAAATGGATAGACATTTGTCAGGGTTACAGATCTGTAAATACAAGGCATGTTAGGTTTAATCATTGATAACAGTTCCAAAGATTGTACAATGTACATGGAATTAATTGTTAGCACACTATCATATATGTTGAATTATCCTTTTGTCCTGTTATATTTGATAAAGTAGGGTAGTTCTCAATTGGGCTTCGGACTCGGAGGTTCAATCTATTCCTGTTTTTCCTACGAGTGCAACTGTTCTTTCTTGTTCCTTATTAAGCAAGAATAATTTCTGAAACACAATTTTTGTGATTTATATGTTTAAATTGTGCATGGAATGTCTCTGAGATATATCACCAAGTTCTCTCAGTATTGTTCCTTAAGCCTCCTTTATTCAGTTGTCTATGCTGCAATAAAATTGGATGTCACAAGTTGGACTTGGAATTCAGCATTTTGTATGTTGAGATTTGATTTCCCAACCAGATGGTTCAAGCATTTTGCCCCCCGGACGTACTGCTACAGAAAAACTTGTAGCTAGTCCCATTTTAAAGCACACCAAACTAGTTAAACAAAGTGAAAAGGAAATTTCCACATTTGACAGACAACTGTAAAACATTTTTGCCACGTGCATCCCAACATAAAGCCATTCAATAAAGCCATATCAGCTGTATTCCCAACATTAACATATCACATAAAATGTATTTTAGGAGTTCATCTTAACTACCACCTTGGCCTTTACTTATCCTCCATTGAATTTACAGGAAATGGAATTGAATTATCCAAATAAAGCTCGCATTTTTGCAACAAATATACACTGGGAAGATTAAGTTATCAAATAATTGCATTGCATAATATAATAGTAACAACAACTGTTAGAAGTCACTCTTAAAACGTCTAAGGGTTATTGGGAGGAAGGACCTCATTACCACTGCGAGCTCAACACAGAAAGACCCCCGATTCCGTGGTGGTCGAATAGGAACCCTCTTGCTGTGAGATGACGGTGCTAACCACTACACCCCCCAACATAATAACATTATGAATGTAAAAACCATAAAGATAGACGATTTTGCAGTATATGTTTCTGTGACATACATCCATTAACGATTGCCAACTGAAAATACAACAAGGCTCTGTTTTAAATCCTTAGAAAGGTTTAAAATAGTTGATAAAAAATTCCTTACATACTAAAATATAGTAGACCGTAACTGTAAAAAAAGTGCTTTTCTGCTATTAAGCTGCAAATTATTTGGGGGGATTTTTGCAATTTGAAAGGATCGGAAAGATTTGCAAACACAATCAAACTGAGTTCTGCAGGCAAAATTCCAAAGACGCTAACAAATAAACCTCCTATGATCTATTTCCACTCAATGCTTTCTGGGATGGAAAGAAATGACTCACAGTAGACCTCTGAAAAACGTATAGCTCTGTTACCATGAAATGTATTTTTACGGCTGCTTTATTAGAGCCATTTGAATTGGTCAGTCGTAAAAAATTGGGGAAAGTTTCATGTCTTTAGCTCCATCAGCTGACCTGTCAGTGTCACACTAACAGGGTGTGATGGCCCCTGAGGTATTTCCCTGACTCAGAAGGGTTGTGCTGTCCCGGCACACAGACAGAGGGCAATGTGCTGCGCCTGATACTGAACTTAGCCTTAATGCTCTCTCAGCAGTTGGTGTCCATGGCAACGGGTGGTAAAAAAAAACAAGGCAAGTGGAGACAAGAGCACTTGCATGGCTGTACAAAGAAAAGAAAAAACGGTCAATTGTGGAAGTCCCAGCATTTCCCTATGACCGGTGCACATCAATCTGACCATATAAACACAGAAGCACACGGTCTTGGCAACAGGAGGAAAAAAACATTGGAGCGCAAGAACAGTTTGTCCCCAGATTCCTCAGTCTGATACTTGGCAGGGAGCAAAGAATGCGTGGAATTTGACAAAGATACACATGAGACGGTGCGTGCTCGTACGAGTGACGTTTATCTGATGTCAAGTCCTCCCGCAGACAGGTTCGGCCTCTAGATGGTGTAATCACCGCCGGCCTGGGTGTGTGTTTGGTTTGTGTAGAGTAATCTCAACCAAGTATCAACCCACTGAGGTGTTAATGCTTTACTACCCCTGGATACTGTTGCTATGGTTTTATTTTTTAACCAAGACTACCCTTCACAACGCAAACAGAAGTGATCCCTGGGATTTTTTATTTTAAATGTCAGGAGAACATAGACAGGTAGCTCTGTCACCAGATTGACATACAAAGGAAATTCCTCATTTAGGCAGGAGGAGTGAACAGATGCAATTAATATAAAAAGAAACTGCAAACACAGAAAAGGAAATTGTCTAGAATTTCAACAAAAATCTAAAATGATTTATACTAAATGATCAGTGTTTTCCAGGATGAAAGAAGTGCATTCGGCATGATGTCCAGAAGTGTATTCAGCATAAATAATGTGCAACTGGTAACTCCATAATTCTCTATTACCGGAATAGAGAGTAGTGTTGCTTTAGAGAGGGAGTCTCCATGAGGAAACACTAGAATATTTCCATCCTTTCTTCTGCACAAAGTGTGCTGGGTACATTTTAGAAGTTACTTCCTCTATCTGTTCCCTACAATATGTTGAGAATAACATTTTTTCCCACACATATTAATACAAAATGTTCTAATCAGTGTATAGAATGCATTTTGCTTTATTTATACATAAATAAATGCATTAGTTTAGGTGTTATATATATATATGTTTTATGAAGCCAAATTTGTCTACAACTTGATGTAACATCCTTTATTTCAGTCTAACTGCAACTCATACCTACCTTTTGCACCACTTAATCCATTAAAGAGTGCACAGTCATAAAGAAGCAGATCATATCCAGTTGCTTTGGGAATTACCTTGAAGAGAAACTGACTGCATGCTTGTAACTATAGCAAATGCACGGTGCCATACTGGTTATGGTGTGGCCCCTGTTTTAGTAATAATTAGTGCAATTTTAGAAATGTTAAGGGGATTGTGGGATTTAAAAAGAATAAAGAAGCCATATGTATCTGATCAAAGGTAACAGAGAGAAATAGGCTAATTGTGGCTGGTTGGCCCTTTTTGAAACAATCTAATTTCCCCCTGAGCAAAAAGGGAATTCTTCAAGAGAAAATCACGGGCTCATTCATGCCCGTCGCGTCTCATTCAGTGAAATCACAAAGTGTCCCATAACCTACATCGCAGGTGAAAATAGGTAACTAATAGGAAACTACGAGTTTTCATTCTGACTCTGTTTTGGAAGGGAGGGGGGGGGGGGGTTTTTTTTTTCACAAAGGCACACGGGCGATGTGATTTCCCTCACTTTTGGAAATCCCCCGGGCGAGGCTCCGCCCCTCTTAGCACAAAAACCCCTGCGCGTCTGCCTCCGTCTCAGCATTTCTCCGCTCAGAACCCTCAGAAAAACACGCGAACGCACCATGGACGTCCGCAGAGTGCCAGACCACGGCCGAATGGATTACGGCGATTTCGACGACATGGAAGCCAAGCACGGGAAGGCGATGCCCTGCCACGAGGAGCGCTTCGACAGCGGCATGGATTCTATCAAAGAGGAGGAGGACGCGCTGGGCGACGCGCTCCTGTCCCTCCGGGAACTGTCCGTGTGCGAAGACCCCGCGGCCGAATGCGAGCCCTGGAAGACTGCAGTGACGGAAGACGGTGACACGTAAGTTTAGGAACGCTTTTTGGGGATTTCTGGACCGAATTTGCATGCTCATTTTGTTGCTCGGAATCGGACGCGCGGTGCGTAAAAGTTTGGATGCAGATACCGTGCGTAAAAACGCTGCAGGAAAAAAGCATACAGGGGGGAAGAGAGTTGCACGAAAACAAGAGATCTTTAACTTGAAAAAAAGGCTGTGAGCGTGTGTGTGAGTGTGTGCACTCGTCCAAATGTGTGTGTGTGTGTGTGTGTGTGTGTGTGCTATAGTGCCTGTGCGTGCGCAGTCAAGGCGGTGCTAAAGTCCGCTCTGCGCATTCAGGAAAGTCCCTGGCCCGCTGCCAGTAACTGATAAAGCATCAGATGTGTCAAGCCACAACTGGTGGAAATAACCCGACAAAACTCCATTCTTGCGAAACGCTCCACTCCTCACTTTGTTCTCTCTCATAGAGCTGGAACCACTTCCCCTGTGTGTGTGTGTGTGTATTTTTTTTTTCTTTTTTTCTATTTTAACTAACCTCTTTCTCTCCTCCTCCTCCTCCTCCTCCTCCCAACAGGCTGCTCCACTTGGCTGTCATTCACGAAGCCACCGACCATGCCCTCCAGATGATCAAACTCTCCCGCGGACAGTCGTTTCTCAACGTCCAGAACCACCAAAGACAGGTGATTATCGGCCGCGGCCGGCCCTTCCAGCGTCCCTTTCAGAGGGGGTCTCAAAAGAGGTTAAAGTAACCGGGTTATCTACGGGTCCTTCCCACAGACTGCCCTCCACCTGGCGGTGATCACGGAGCAGCCCCAGCTGGTGGAGAAGCTCCTGAAGGCCGGCGCCGACCCCCTGCTGGCCGACAACGGCGGGAACACGGCCCTGCACATGGCCTGCAAGCGGGGATCCCTGGCCTGCTTCGGGGTCATCACCCAAAACTGCCAGAGCCACCTCACCGCCATGGTGTCCTTCCCCAACTACAACGGTGAGCCCCTCAACCCGACCAGCAAAACCGAGTCAAGATTAACCCAAACGGCTTTTGAACAGGGGTCCTTACCTGTGCTTGTTTTTCTTTTTTTCTTCTTCTTTAGGACACAACTGTCTCCACTTGGCGTGCATTAATGGCTTCATCTCTTTGGTGGAAAGCCTCGTTCAGCTGGGAGCAGACATCAACGCACAGGTTGGTGTCTTTTCATCCCAAAGCGAGGCGTTTTTCTGAAATAAAAAAAAAGAAAAGGGAAAGTTAAAAATGCCAGAGATTTAAATGTGATTTTTTTTTTTTAACCCCCTCAGGAGCCGTGCAGCGGGAGGACGGCGCTCCACCTGGCGGTGGACCTCCAGAACCCCACGCTGGTCCGCTGCCTGCTGGAGCTGGGCGCCAACGTCAACCGCCTGAACTACGGCGGCTTCGCGCCGTACCACCTCACCTACGGCCGGCAGAACGAGGAGATCCGCCGGCGGCTGATGGAGCGCACGGCGCGCGAGCTCAGGGAGCTGCCCGACAGCGAGTCGGAGAGCGACATGGAGGACCTGGACACGTCGGAGGACGAGGTGAGCCCCTTTGTTCCGAACGCGGCGGCGATGGTTTCCGTGTCAAAGTGCGGCTCCCTAAAAAGGCTTTCTGTTAAAAGAAAGTTTTTCCTTGCCTGTGTCGCCTAGTGCTTGCTCATGGTGGGAATCGTTGGGTTTCTGTAATCAACTTCAGAGTAGGGTCTGACCTGCTTTGTTTGGAAAGCGCTGCGAGATGACTGTTGTTGTGATGTGGCGCTATATAAATAAAATTGAGTTGAATTTAATTGAATTTCTCCTCTCTCTTTCCAGCAGATGTACGACGACATCAAGTTCGGAAAGTAACGGCGTTCCCCCAGGTTCTGGTGGTTGAGAACGACAAGCTGCTAGCTGGGGTTTGCCGAGCCAAGCTCCCAAAAAGGGGACGAGTCGGGTCATGCCCCCCCCTCTAACCCCCCCTACCCCACACTCAGACCTCCCGTCCGAGGCTCAGGCCCGCCAGTGCTGGCCCTGGGACTGCAACAAAGGAATGAAGAAGATGTCGGGGGGGAAAAAACACCACAGGGAGACACCATGGCCTCCATATGGTGCATCTGAAATTGTATAAATATATATATATATATATATTATAATGTATATACCAGACAGGTGTAACATATTGTAAATACAGAGATATTATTTTTGTACGTAGTGTGAATTTAAACACTACTAATGGGAAAAAAAATGTTCCGAAATTAAAAGGAATTTATGAATATGAGCAACTGACTCTTTTCTTTTCTCGACTGAACCAAGAGCTGAATTTCCCTCCCCTGTGAGGATGACTGATGCGTGGCCTTTCCAGGCTTATAAAACATGCGTAATTTCTCACTTGTGTGAAGTGATGAGTTTAGTCATCGTCAAAACATGTGACAACAAAAAAAAAAACTTAAAAAAAGAAAAGAGATCGCACTCAGCCAGACTTGGAAGGGTATGGGATTTCCTTTTGTTGGGCGAGGTCATCGGGCGTCTGAGTCACCGCGCTGAAAGTCCCTGGGCGGCAAAAGAGGAACACGGCGTGCTTAAAAATTCCACCCGATTCTACCGAGAAGCAACTAGGAACTGACTGTACTAGGTACCGACCAGGGAATTTTTTTTTTTTTGCTTAGATGTACTGGATAGTTTACTGCTGTCATTGTGACCAGGAAACATTGCTGGACTCTGGGAAGTACGAGACTTCCCTATAGTGCTTGAGTCAGGGTTTTTTTTTTTTTTCCTTCTTCAGAGAATCTGTTGCAAGTAGCCACAGATTTTTTTTTTTTTTTTTTCATATGGGGGAAAAAAAAAAAAAAAAAGTCAGTCCGGCAACTCGGGGAAGATTTTCCAGTGGCAAAAAAGCTCGTATAGAGTGTGAACTGCCAGGTTTTTCCTAAAGAGACAGCCTTGAACTGATTCTCCGCTGACTAATTTTGATTGTATTTGTAAGTGCATCGATGGAAGCTGCTTTACTGGTTCCCTCGCATGACTGTACACAATTGCTTCAAGGCAATTTTGTTTCTAAGTTAAGTTGGAACATGATTGCCACTGATTAAAGTGGCTGAAAAAAAAGTTTGATGTAATAAACCTGAGCTGAGGGAGTCTTACCCAATAGTGGCTTACCCAATGATTACATGTTACATAATTTCTTAACATGCGGCTAAAAAATAAATAAATAAAATCAGCACGGAGATGCTGGAAATAGTCAGTGACTACTATACGCACGCACAAACTGGAATCTGTGTCAGCTCTGTGTCAAAAGCCCCTGCTTTTAGGCTGCTAAATTTCCCTTCGCAAAGAGAAAGCGTCCGATCGTCCCGTTCGAACCGACTGGAACTTCTCCATTTCTGACATTCTAGGTCAGGTCGGCTCCGCGTCACTCTGCGTGTAGTAAAACGAGCTCCTTTCGGCACCTCGACGAGTCACGTGACATGTGGAACCACAACAGGAAGCTGTTCGGTAGTGCTCTGCACAAGCTCGTGTTTCTGTAAACAAAAGGTTCAGGAACACAAATATTAGATTACAAGCCTGGGGCCACGTTGCATTAAAACAAAAACAAAAAAGAGAAACGGAGAGACTTCAAAAGGTTCTTTTACTCCAAAAAACTTGTTTTATTGTTGAATGAAACAATGTGTATGTGTGGGGAGGGCGGGGAGGGGGAGGGGAAATGTACAGCAAACAAAGACGAGGCCGGCATCTGCCTGGGAACTGCATTTCCCATCATGCTTCGAGTCAATCCAGCTTTTCGGCTCGCTCAGTCCCGTTCTGCCAGGGCCATGAGGTGGACGTCGACTTCAGACTCTGTCAGAATCCTGGGGAGAGAGGATGGATGAGACATGAGTCCGAAACGCGATCGGCTGCACGCGCTGTTGGCGTCACGTGCTCGCCGCCGTTTTACCTGAACTTGGGGTCCTGCGTTGTTACGACTCCCACCTCCAGCTCAGAGGGCTTGAAGTCGATGGAGAGAACGGTTGTCAGGCAAGAGATCGCAGTCTGGGAAGGAAAAAAAAAAAAAAAAAGGAGGTGAAGAGATGCTGCAACTGTGGGATTTTTACCATTTAATAACACAATATTGCTACAGCTTAATCACTTTAGATCTTTACGAGAGGAAATCACACCGGTAATAAAGCATGACAGCTGGGAACCACCGCGAGGCACAAGATAATTTCTTATATTTTTTTATTACCTCAATAGTTTGCTCAAAGGTCCAGTCCAGTTTCTTTTTCACTTTCTTCTCCAGGAAGCTGGTGGCTTCCGTCTGCTTCACCCCGGCGGCGGTGGCCTTAAAGCCGCAGTAGTAGCCGGCGGGGTCGCATTTGTACACCTGGGGGCCGAACTCCTCGTCTACGCCGATCACGATCATACCTGCGGGGGGGCGAGGGGCCACAAGGGTCAGTTTGGGTTCTAGGCAGCGGCCAGTGTGGCGTCCCGGGCGGATGTACTCACAGCAGCCCAGTGGCCGCATCTCGGCGTTCTGCGTGTAGACCTGCGAGATGTCGGCGATTCTCTTGCACAGCATGTCCACCGGGATCTCGTAGCCGTACTTGTACTGCCAGTTGGCCGCCTCGTAGCGAGCGCGCTGGACCTGAGACCTGCTGTCGGCTGAGAGGGAAGAATATAAAAACAAAACCGTGTTTATCACCATACTGCAGCTGAATGTGGTCAGAATGAAACCAAAGCACAAACATAACAGTTTCTATTAGACCAATTAGCCTTCTCATTGTTTTCTAGCATACCCTTCTGGCTAAATATTATCAAGACGGACTCAAGATAATAAAAAATAATAATAATAATAAAAAAAAAAGGGGGGGGGGCGTCAAAAAATAAACAAGAAAAAATAAGATACATATATCTAATTTGAATGAATTTTTTAGTCAAATTGGATCCATTTTTTTCTGTGCATTGTTACTGTAAGTTAATATGCAAAAAAGGAGTTTTGACTCCTAAAAAGTTTTGACTGCAATGATACAGTAACTCTGTGTTAAATAAGACATGTGGCATCAAAAGGTCGATAAGTTTAGTTTTGTCAAAAATCTTTCACAAGAAAGTTGGGGGTAATATCATGAGGTGTTCGATACGGCAGCAAAAAAGGTGACTAAATTGGATATAATTCGTTACATTTGAATTTTATCCAACTTCGAAGCTGTCCAGTTTGTGAGCTCATTCAATAAAACATGTTAAATCATACTTCCTCTGTCTTCATAACAAGAGGCTGGCTGAACTGGAGTGAGCCGAGGAAATGTGACCATTTCCAAACAGCCCAAACCCTAACATTGGAAAATATCTGATAGTTTGCATGCACAGCACTGATCACATGGAATCCAACTGCTCAGGAGTGAGGCATTTAGCGGTCTCCCATTACAAGGCAGCTTCAGAATAAACACACACATGTTGACAGAGTGTGTGGTGGTGATGTCATGCTGTTTTTCTATGCAAGTGGGACACTTTAGGCCCACCGTCTGATTTATATGTGCAAAACCACATAGAAAGTAATAAAAAATAAATCATGCAAATATTTCGAACTGAGTCAGAGAGACCTGCTTTTTCATTTCACAAAATTTTCAGAAACGTAAACTTCACATATACGAGAAAGGATCAATAAAAAAACAACGTTCATCCATAGGAAGCTGAGCTGGATCCCACACATTGAGTAAAAGTGACATTACATTTCACAACCTTAATCTGTGATCAACATTAAATTTCCCGATATAACAACTTTTATATAATTTAATATTGTGAATAATTTGAACAGGATGAAGAATCTCCATGGCTGAAAATAATAATTAAGGAAGTTTGTGCATCGTTTTGCAGACCAATCAAAGCAGAACGAGCTTTTCGAGGTTGTTGATTGTTAAAGAAATAAACTCAGCGTCATGTCATGTGTTACAAATGCTGCAGGCAGATGATTCAAACAAGAAAAACAGTCTCTGCAATATTTTTAGTGAAAGATTTTGGCCCAGCAGTCTCAGGGAAGAACATACGAGGTCCCACTGGCAGGTGAATAACGAAGTGTTCTTTCTTACCCGTCATGCCAGACATTACGCATCCGATATTGTCTGTTATTCTGAAGAGGTGGGTCACTGTGGCAGCATCCAGTAGCTTGTCCTGATCCAAGAAAGGCACGAAAAAACAAAAAAGATACAACACAAAAAACTTTGGGTTAACGAAGCGCTATAAAAATTGTTGCAATCAACATGAGCCTGCAGCTTTGTTTCTGGGCACATATATCCACCCCTTCTCCAACGTCGGGTTAAATGAAAACAACTGGACATGCACTTACCGGTACTTTTTTCTGTGTTACGACAACTGCGCAGTCCTTCCCCCGGACTGCTACCGACGTGAGCCCACCTTGGTTTATGGCCTTGAAGGCGTATTCTGCAAAAGAACAAAAAAGAGTGGCTTTACGAAGACATACATACACAAACAAGTATCTTTAGACCCCAGAGTTAATTTGCTCTAGAAAATAGCTGCCATCTCAGCTGGAAAATTGGAGCAACAGATAAAGAACTAATAGAAAAGGTCAGCTGATTGACTTAAGCCACAAAGTTATGACTTTAAAGCCAAACCGAGGTTTTGTTGAAGGCAACGGCTTTCTTGTTGTTTAGAAAGCACGAAACAGAGCCTTATTCACGACTTCAAAAGAAAAAAACTAACATTGAACCAACTGTTATATGTATTATTGGCGATTAAGCACATTAACAGACTCTACATCCAATTTCAAGTATTCAGACAGTTATTACTGAGCTAAACATGGTTAAATAATCTAATAAAACCGTCTTTAGACTAAAATGTGACACCTGATGTGGAATTGAGTCTTATAGCAATGAATCATCAGGCTGCTCTACCATGCTAACTGCGCTAATTAGCCTCGGAGCCTTGTAGCTTTTATGATTCACTATTTTTTGAGAAGGTAGCGTCCGTAAAGTAGATATAAAATGACACAGCCGACGCTATTGGTAAGGCTTTTGTGATGATATGTGTTACTACTTTCGCTTTAGCGCGTGTTTTTTTAATAAACCTGAAGCCGGGCTAAGCGAACCATGACAGGGCATTTAGCTAGCTAACCGGCTAGCAAACAAATAAGGCATCGAACCGGCTTTTGCCTCACCCAAACCTCATACTGACCGACTTGATAGAGTCTGCCTTCGGGAGAGAAGATGGTAATGTGTCGATCGAACCCTGCACTTGAGCCTCGGGACATTTTGCAAAGTTAAATTGGCCGAGGAGTTCGTCCAAATGAATTTGCAAGCAGATTTTCCTTCATGCACAATGTTTCTACCCGGAAGTTGAACTTATTACACAGGGTTTTCTTCCGGAGCAAGAGGGCCGCTTTGTTTCCATGGTGACAAAACGTTTTCTGGGGTATTTTGAAGTGAACAAAATTTTATTAGAGCAATTATTACGTATGTGTATGCGTAATTATATAACAACGTTGCTTAATTTAGATTATTGTCAAGACAGCTTGTCCAATACTTGCCCAAACAAGTATCAACAAAGTATTTAGCACTTTTTTTATCTGATCTTTTTTTTTTTAAATCCACAACTACTTAACAGTCACCTGCTACCTTTTAAAAATATATTTTTATATATTTTAAAAAACTATTCGACTAACATTGCATTAATAAAACTTTGACTTGTAAACCATACTCATAAATCTAAAAATGATTTGAGCCAAAGGCCTTATGAAATCTCAATTAGATAGAAACAGGTCAAGAGGCTGCTGTCCCCAAGAAATATACATTTGCAAATGGTATGACACAAAAATACACTGTACGGTAAGAAAATAAAGAGTAAAAGAAGAAAAGAAAATATAAACAGATTTGGCAGTTGTTTGAATAATTTTTACATAGAAAGCCACCCAGCCTGTGGCACACAAAATGAGGAAGCCATGTATTGTATAATTTCCTGTTAGTACACAACTGACTGGCCTGTTGATTCCTTGTACACAAACACAGCACAATAGTATGTGCCTCAGTAAATAGTTAAGAGTTATTCTGGCATTACACTCACACAAAAAATATTTAGTGTGAGAGCAGTCAATCCTGACAAAATTATGACTTGGCTTAAGTTTCCGGTTCAATGGTAGCTGCAGTTAAACTTTTATAAACTTCCTGGAAAAAAGGTGCACATGCTTAGCTGCAAAATTCCCCTGCCAGTAGCAATGTTTGCTATAGGGGCAGCCTTGGAGGCGTTTTTAATTCCCATCATATAGAAGCTTTCATTCGCCCGTGACAATTGTGCAAAGTACAAAGTTACACACACACACACACGCACACAGTACTCTGCCTGAAAAAAATTGAAAAGATCAATGTCAATACAACCCTGAGAAAAGTTTAAAAGCTGACATGTGTTTTTGCCAGTCTTTCTGTTTATTTTCCAGTATGGATTAACAATATTGTGAAAAAAAAAATCCTTGTTCATCCGTCACACCAAAAGAATGACCTGCATTGCAGATTCACTTTTCCTGATTATGTTACAAGCCAAGGAGATAATGGATGCTATCATATAAAAAGTTCACGAGTAAGGATTTTTTAAAAATGTTTAACTTCATGAGGCTCCATCTGATCCCTTTGGCAAATGCACAAATTATCTATTCCAGTTCCAGCGTAGTCTTCTTCCTATTAGTCATTAGGGATTTCCCCTCCATCCACAGGTACATAAAACAGCTGAACATAGGATGTTTGCTTCCTCTTTATAAGTTACTGACCCATTCAGATAGTGACTCATCGGACTAGTCACTGAAATTTCACTATGTCTGATTAGCAGAAACAGGATCTCAGCCCGGCGATGAAGTTAAGAGTTATCTTAAAAAGAAGTCCGACAGAGAAAAGTCCCAGATGGTGGTTGTGGCCTCTTAACCCTGACTACAGAGTCCATCCATGTGTCAGTCATTCTTCTAAAATTACACTCTTGGGAGGAACTTAATTTCATTCTGAATCAAATTTCTGAATGGTAGTTCAGGCAAAGCAGTTTAGTAAACAGTCATTAATTAGTTAATCATCCAACATAAATCAGACTCCAAGTTTCCAAAAAGCCCTCCAACGTCTGCAGACAGGTGCAAGTTCCACCTGACAGTTTCGGAGCACAACAGAGAGATAGCAACATTGACTTTGCAACCTAAAATAAACGTACAGTGTTTAGAAAAATGAATTTATCCCACATCAGGCGCACACTGACTCAAAGGTCCGAGTAATGTCATGTATTTTACTGTGATGCCTCCCCTACTGTCTCTTTGCCAGTTCTAATTTGAGATTTCATAACCTGGAAAGCAAACCCGCACCCCCCGCCCACGCACCTCTGCTCCCTCCCCCGTTCCTGTCCTCTTCCCCACCTCTGTTCTTTCCCCTTCCTCTTGTTCTGTGTGTGCAAACGAAAGGGCATCTAATTCATACTGTACCGGTGCAGCACACCGCAGTCGGATTTGAAACCAGAAAGACCCCCACCCCCGCTCCATCGAGAAAAGAAGTGGGGACCATTTCTGTAGTTCAGGGGGAGAGGGGAACTTGTCTTCACCATGTATGAAAAATACATTTTTTTCATGTTTTAAAGCTGCGGTGTGGCTCATATTTTCCAAACACAAAAGTTTATATGTTGGGCAATGAGCGAAACATCCACATGAAGAGGCCTTTGGAAAAAAAAAAAAGCTCTCAATTTAACATGTAAAAAGTGGTCTTGACTCATTTTAACTCGAAACATTTAAAATGTACTTTTAAAAAAAATTTCAGACGCCGTGGACATTTTCCAGTGTTCTCTTTTTCTTAATTCTCACACAGATTTCTCAGAATAACCAGTTGTTTGTGGAAACATAGCTAAAGTAAAGTCCTGAAAATATGACACATGTCATGTAATCTCCCCCGTCAACACAGAGCATTCATTAGCTGTTTTAACACATGTGAGGCACATAGTTTCTAAGAAGCTGATCGCAGAGTGAGCGGCTTCTGGGAACAGCTTATCTAAGGTGACCTAAAATGCTGAGCGGAGCAGAGATGTCCGCCGAGCATGTTGTGTGTCTGTGTGTGTGAAGATGCCGTGTGATGGTTTCCTCACACTAACAGCATCTTCTTCAGAATCACCTTCTTGTTCCTTGTAAAGGATCTAGCGGTTTGTGATGTTACAAAAGATTACTTACAAGCTCCAAAGGTGTTTTGCAATTTGCGGTGTCACGCTTATTTGGAAATGCTCAAAGCATTCGCCTGAAATTGAATCGACAGAAAACACAGAATGTTGTCAGTCTGGGATGTTTGCAGGTCTGAATTTCACTGAAATCAAGTCTGAATCCCCCATCCCTAAGAACCAAGATCCAGAAGGAAAGCGACAAATGACATTAAATTACATGTTTGTCATTATGAATTATTTTCTAAATGAAAACTATTGTAAATGTGAGGTTTATGAAAATGATGCATTATCTTAGATTATAATATCTTATCATAAATGTCCCAAAAAACTGCAAAAACTGGTATTTCAGAAATGTTCTTTCTGCATATCTGTAAAAAAAAGTGTTTTCGAAAAAACTTCAACCCAGTAAGTGCTTTCTTGGACAACCTTAACTCCTTAAATGTGAAATAACACAGCAATGCAGCATTCTTTGTTTTTTTTTGTGCCACTATGGTACTGTTAATCCAATTCATTTGTTAGGAAGCCTGAGTCTACACCAGACAAGTAATCAGTGCACACATGTCTAATTTATTCAGGCCACAGGTAAAGTGTTACTTTGTTTTATTCTATTACTAGATTTAATTCTGGATTTCATATGATTTATGAACGGTTTTGTTCTTTTTTAAGAATTATACTCTGACACTAAACTCATGTTATGTCTACAGTTGTACTTCCAATTTTCTCATTTTTTCTATGAGACACAGAAAAACATCTGTATCTTCTTGGTCTGGGCAAGAAAATAAATGTCCATTAACTCTGTCCATTTTCTGACTGAAATCCTCATTGAACTTTAACATTTGAGAGCCCAGTGTGCTGATATACTTACATGTGACATTACTAAATTGCACATTTGTATTCTGATAATTTCTCTGGGTTAATTCTCAGGCTTCCGATAAAATAATAGGTCTAAAATAATGCGACAGAGACTAAGGAGGAACTTGTTAGTACAACCGGTGAAGTTATATATACTTCAGTGCCAGAGCATAAGACTAAATTGAAGAGCCTTGAGCATGATTGTCCATCGATGCATGTGAACGTGTTCATGTGCAGTAAATACTTCAGTTTTTCTGAGAACACTGAACTGAACCCGACATATTTACACACCATGAACCTCAACGCTACTCAGGGTTGCACATTGATACAAATATTGCTATTAGTGAGACCACAGTGAGTATCGGTATAAGATCGATATGGGGATGAAATTTTGTTTTTCTCATATATAACCAGAAAATTACACAAAGTACAGGCTGGAAGCTTCTCTACTGCTAATTGCAGGCGAGTGGTGATACTAAATTCCCACTATCGGACCATCCGTATAGGTAACACACAATCTGCAACACCTTGTCGTATTCACTGCCTATATTTAACCCAGTGCTACACCTTCACACTACGTTACCCACGATGCATTGCCCAGTCAACCATGGCAAACCGGTCCTGTATGGGAAGAAAATCGTTTCAATCTATCTTTGCATAATACTTGAGTTTTAAACTTCGTAGGCACACTTTCGCATAGCTTTGTGTATCTTTTGCGTAAAACGTGATTAAAAAACCGTGATCTTTCTGTGTGTGACTTTGGGCACGTGCAAATTCATGTTCAAATGCACATACTTTGCCAGTTCAGCTGTCCTTTTCCAGTCCCGCCATCTTGACTCCCACGGTAGATTTGGCGGGAGTTTTGGAGGGAAGTGACATCAGACTCACAATCAGATGGCCGGGGATATCTGCATGCAACACGCACGCAAGAATCTGTGAGAAGAGTGTCTTGAGCCCCTGTTAAGTAAACTTTGAGCTAGTTCCTGCGAAGCACGAGCTTGCACAACACTGTCGCTGTCCGTCTGAAGAAGCTGATCGGCACTCGTTTCTGCTCCTTTTACGTTTTGCTAAGACATAAAAAGAGAAGTTCAGTGTATGTGGGACTTCTGTGTGGCCATTAAATACATCACCATTTCTGTTATTCTCTCTTTTTTTTACTTCAGCATATAGTGAATAAATGATAACAATAAATGGTGCTTGATGGGAAATGAGTCTACTCTATCTTTTGTATACAAAGAGCCCCGTGAACTGTTCGTCAAAATCTTGTTCTGAAGACATCAGAGGAGAAAGGCGAGCATTTGCATTTGCCAAATGTTCTCATGTATTTCACAGTTTTTTTTTCAGAAGAAAAGAAAGACAATGAAGAGAAGGGAACATAATTAGGCTGCTGCCAGTAAAAGGTGTCTCAATCATTTCAAAGATGCATTATATACATCGTAAATATGGCTGATCGGGTCCTTG